AAAAAAATATTTTATTTATTATTTTTATTTTATGTGTATGAGTGTATTGCATGCATGCATGTAAGTACACTCATGTTGTACAATGCCCACAGAGATCAGGGTGCTGGATCCCCTGAAACTGGAGTTATAGATGGTTGTTAGCCAACATGTGGGTGCGGGAATCTAAACCTGGGTCCTCTGGAAAAACAGCAAGTACTCTTAACCACTGAGCCATCTCTCCAGCCCCAAGCTCTGGTATTTTCACTGTTGCTGTAGTTTGGCTTTCCTGGACTATCCTACCCTCGGAATTATACCTGATTAGACTGGCTTCTTTCACTTAGCAACATATAATTGTAGTTCTTCTGTATGTTCCTGTGGCTTGATAGCTCATTTCTTTTTATTGCTGATTAACAGTTAAATATGTAATTGTATCTTATTTTGTTGATCCATTCACCTACTGATTGTTTCTAGTTTTGAGTAGTTATGAGGAAAACTGTTACATTCTCATGGAGGTTTTTGTGTAAACACAGTTGGTTTTTAATATACATGGACAAATATATAGAAGTACACTTGCTGAACTGTATGGTGAGACTCTTTAGCTTTGTAAGAACCTGCCACCCTTCTGTCAGAGGGGTTGTGCTGTTTTGCATTCCTACCAGCAAGGAGTGGGCATTCCTGTTGCTCCATGTCTCAGTCAGCATTCGTCGTTGGATTTTAACCATTCTAATAAGTGTGTGGTGATAGCTCATGTTATTTGAATTTGCAGCTTCCCCATGATATGCTGTTGAGCATTTTTAAAATATTTTGTTTTTATTTTATGTGTCTAAGTGCATATATGCAAGTATACTCATGTTATGCAATGCCCAGAGGCCAGAAGAGGGTGTCAGATCCCCTAGAACTAGAGTTAACAGGCAGTTGTTAGCTGCTATATGGGTGCTGGGAACTGAACCTGGGTCCTTTGCAAGAGCAGACAGTGCTCTTAACTGCCGAGCCATCTCTCTGGCCCCCTTGAACATTGTTCTTATGTTTGCTATCTGATATGTCACCTTTGTCATTTCTGTTCATATCTTTTGCCCATTTTGGAGTTTTTCTTTTATTGTTAAGAGTTCTTTGTATATGTTGGATGTCAGTCCTTTTCCAGACAGGTGTTTTACAAATGGATTTCTGGAACTGGAGAGGTGGCTCCATGGATAAAGCACTTGCCAAGCAAGCGTGGGGACTGGAGTTTGGATTCCCCAGTATCCATGTAAAGGATGGGTGGGTTGGGAAGCCTCCAAAAAGCGGAGACGGGATCCCTGGAGCAAGCCGGCTAGAAAGAAGAGCCATCAGCAAGTTCTGGCTTTTATTAAGAGACCCCGTCTCAAAAGAAAAGTGGGAGAGCCATTGAGGAAGATCCCCAGCATCAATTTCCACAGGCACATACACATAATCAACACACACACACACACACACACACACACACACACACACCACAAACACATGAAAAGAAGAATAGTGGCTTTTATAGAGCAGAAGGTTTTTTTTGTTTTTGTTTGTTTTTTGATTTTTTGAGACAGGGTCTCCCTGTAGCCCCAGCTGGCCTGGAACTCACTATGTAGACAAGGCTGGCCCTGAATGCACAGAGATCTGCCTGCCTCTGCCTTCCGAGTGCTGTGATTAAAGATGTGTGCCACCACGCCCAGCTAGAGCAAATGTTTTTAATTTTAATAAAAACATCAGCTTTAACAGGGATTGTGCTCTTGTTGTATCTAAATTCACGTCACTTAATCTAAGAGCACTAAGACTTTCTTCTGTATTACCATCTAGGAATCATATAGATTTATGTTGTACATTTAGGCCTAGGATCCATCTTGAGTTCATTTTCATGAAAGGTAAAAGGTTTATATCTCTGTTTTTTGCATGTGGATGTCTAGTTCTTCCAGCATCTTTGTGTGTGTGTGTGTGTGTGTGTGTGTCTTTTTGAGACAGGGTCTCCCTGTAGCTCCAGCTGGCCTGGAACTCACTATGTAGACCAGGGTGGCCTCGAACTCACAAAGATCCACCTGCCTCTGTCTCCCAAGTGCTGGGATTAAAGGCGTGCACCACCATGCCAGGCTCCAGCATCATTTAAAAAATTTTTTTTTTAATTTTATGTGTGTAAGTATTTGCTCACATGTATGTACATGTACCATGTGTGTGCCTGATCCTGGTGGATGCCAGAAGAAGGTGCTGGATCTTCTGGAACTGGAGTTACAGGAGATTGTGAGCACCACGTGGATGCTGGGAACTGAACCCAGGTCCTCTCCAAGACTAGAAACTACTCTTAACCGCTGAGCCGTCTCTCTAGCTCCTGATTACTGTAACTTTATAGTAAATATTGGATCAGGTATTGTTGGTCCACCAACCTGGCTCTTACAAGTCTCTGCATTATCCATGTAAACATTAAAATCAATTAGTGTCTACAGAGTAACTTGCTGGGATTTTGATCAGGGCCGTATTGAATCTATAGACCAAATTGGGAAGAACTGACATTTTTGATAATAGCCTTTCTACCACAAACATGAAAGAGCTCTCCATTTACTCACGTATTCTTTCATTAAAGTTTTATGGGTGCATTTTTAGTACACTTTTTTTTTTTTGAGGCAGGGTCTTATATGTCCCAGGCTAGCCTCAGACTCACTCTGTAGCCAAGGATGACTTTGAATTCCTAATCCTCTTGTCTCTACCTCCCAAGTGCTGGGATTATAAGTGTGTGCCATCAAACCCTGTTGATGTGGTACTGGGATCAAACACAGAGCCTCATGCTTATTAGACAAATGCTCTACCAACTGAGCTACGTCCCCAAAACTATTTTGATACTATAACTAGCTTCCTTGGTAACCTTTTTTTTTTTGAGGCAGGGTCTTATTATGTAGCCTTGGCTGTCCTAGAACTTGCATGTAGACCAAGCTGGTCTTCAACTCACAGATATGTGCTTGTCTTCTGCCTCCTGAGTGCTGGGATTAAAGGCATGTGCCACCATGCCCAGCATGTAATCTTTTTAAAAATGGACTTATTATTTTTAATTATATGTATGTGTGTGATTGTTGCCCATGGAGACCAGAGGCATTAAATTTCCTGAAGCTGGAGTTACAGGCAGTTATGACCCATGGGTGCTGGGACTCAGACCCTCTGCAAGAACAGTACACTCTTAACCACTGAGCCATCTCTCCAGCCCCACTTGGTAATCTTATATGTTTCATTTTATGCTTGTTTTTAAAAGTGCTGAGGATTGGACACAGGGCTTTAGACATGCTATGCAAATGTTCTACCACTGGCTTGCACCCCCAGCCCCATCTTATGCATTTTAGAACATTTCTCTCAATCCCAAGTTTCATTAGACTACCAGAGGAGTTTGTAACCAAAGAAAGGTTAAAGAACCAGAAATTTGGAGAGATGAGTCAGTGGGTAAGAGTGCTTGTTGCTCAAACATGAAGATCTGAGTTCGAGTCTTCAGCACCACATTAAAAAGCCATGTGTGGCTGTGTGTGTTTATAAACCCAGTGCTGTAAGGGCAGAGGCAAAAGGATTTCTAGGGCTCACTGGCTGGTAGCCTAGCTGCAGGTTCAGTGAGAGACTCTGTCACAGGGAACAAGATGGAGAGTGAGCGAGCAGGAGACCCAGCATCCTGCTCTGGCCTCTGCTAGGATGAAATAACCAAAACAGCTTAGAGAAGGAAGAGTTTATTTTGGCTTGTGGTTCCAGAGGGAGAGTCTGTAATGATGGGGATGGCATGGCATGGAATCAGGAGCAGGAAGCTGACCAATCACATCTTTATCAGAGAGGGAGCAGGAAGTGAGGTGAGGCTATAAACTATCAAAGCCCATCCCCAGTGACATACTTTCTCCAGCAAAGCTCCACCTCCTAAAGGTTCTATAAGCCCCACAGGCAGTATCACCAGCTGGGGACCAAGTGTTCAAATACATGAGCCCATGGGAGACCTTTCTTATTCAAACCAGCACACACACCTACACATATGCATGTACACACACCACACACCACACAAATACTACATACATGAACACACCTAAAGGAAGAGGAGAAGGAAGAGGAGGAAGAGGAGGAGGAGGAGGAGGAGGAGGAGGAGGAATAATTTTGCAATAAACCAACAGTTTTATTCTGGCAATGTAAGCATGGGTTGGTGAAGTATGACTTCATCAATTTAACACTAATTTTTCCTTAAAGAACCATTTTACCAGTGATGTTAGGATTAGACATAATCTGAGTGTTCTAGAGTTGTTGTTTCTTGTTTGCTTATAGGCGTGTACCATTCGTGTGGCTAACTTTTGTGTTTTTAGGGAGATCAAAAAGGATACCTGCCCCTAAACTTTCCCTCATCTGAGTCAGAATATTCTTTATTCTAACTGACTGATTTCTAGAATTCAGTTATCAGAGTTGTCTGACTCTGGTTTGATATTTAAGGAGCAACAACAAAAATGAAAGGCTGCCCCCCTTTTCTCACTATAAAATGAGGTATAAACACAGCTTTTTTGTGGGGTTGGCTCCAGGATTAAAGAGAGGAACGTATGGAAATTGCTTAGTACAATACCTGCCTCTGTGCAGAGAGTTTTTAAATGTTGATGGTTGTTACTGAGACAGGCACTGTGCTGAGGTGTATAGCAGTCCTGCTTCATCACTGCTCAGAATTTGATGTCCTTTCTCCTCCCAGTTAGGAGAGGAAAGAAGAAGAAAGATTCCAGAACCAACAGGCAGGACTATGTATACCTTTTCATAGGCACTTTCAGCTTCTATTTTATTTACTATTTTTAAAGAGATTTAAATTTTTATTTGTGTGTGTGTGTGTGTGTGTGTGTGTGTGTGTGCATCTACTGGTGCCAGTGGAGGTCAGAAAAGGGTGTCAGATCCCTTGGAACTGGAGTTATGGGTGTTTTGTAAGCCACAAATATGGATGCTAGGATCCAAATTTTGGTCCTCGTGATAGAACAGCAAGTGCTTAGTAAGCCATCTCTCCATCCCCCTCTTTCTTCTTATTTTTGAGATAGTCTCACACTGTAGTCCAGGGTGATCTGTAACTCACTGTATAAACCAGGCTGGTCTCAAACTCACAGCTATCCTTCTGCTTCAGCCTTCCAAGTATCATTAAATGATTTTCTGTTTTTTGTTCTAGAGAGAAAGCAAGCTTTACAGTCTCCCTGAAGCAAACTGAGACTGGGAGCATCTTCCTTCAGCTCTGAAGAAAATCCAAGGCTAAGGCAAAGTTCAGAATGCTTTTCAGGGAAGAACAGAGCTTAGCTTACACTTTGCTGGTAATTTGTTTCCTGGCGCCAAGGCTGTCCGCCAGTCAGAACTGCCTCACCGAGAGTCTAGAAGATGTCGTCATTGATATCCAGTCTTCTCTTTCGAAGGGAATCAGAGGCAATGAACCCACACATACAGTAACACAGGAAGACTGCATTAGTTCCTGCTGTTCAATCACAAACATAGCAGGCAAGTAACATGGCCTGCTGTGAGATAGGTGTTTTGTGGCAGGGCAGGGGGAGGATGTAGCTTAGTAGTTCGTACCAGTGATTCTCAATGGGTGACACAGTTAATTGTCTATAAGTGTGTCCCTCTCTCCTTTCCCTGAGCTGTATTACAGTTGCTGATATGTATTTCTGTATGTCTGTTAGATGACTGGATGGGAAAAAAATAAGAGCCAGTGGTGTTTCTAACAGGTGCCTAGATTTTTTGCAGGGGAGGGGGTGTCCTTTTGAGACAGGATCTTCCTGTAGCCCCAGCTGGCCTGGAACTTGCTATACAGACCAGGCTGACCTCAATCTCAGAGATCTGCCTGCCTCTGCCTCCTAAGTGCTGGGACTAAAGGTGTGCACCACCATACCCGCTACAGGCATCTAGAATTTTGAAAATAAAAATTCTATTCAAGTATTGAAATAGAGTGTAATATTACAAAACAATATACAGAGAAAAGGAGTTGAAGCATCTCACGGGAAAATCAGCATTTGATATATTTTTTTAAATTTTAGACAAGGTCTTGCTACATAGCCCATGTTGACCTTGAACTTCCTTCTACCTCTGCTTCCTGAATGCTGCTTGGGCCACCATACCCAAACAGCTTTTGATTTTTAAATAGAAGCACAAAACCTCCATCCTTCTCCCTAGAGGTGGTATTAGTGAGTCAAGAAGTCACTCACTGACAGGCTGAGGATGTAGCTCAGTTGCTAGAATGCCTGCCTAGCATGCAGAAGGCACTGGGTTCAGTCCCCAATACTACTTGCCTGTCATCTCAGCATTTGGGAGATGGAGGGAGGCAGGTCGTATTTGGCCACACAGCCAACCTGAGCTACTTGAAAACCTGTCTCAAAAAAAAAAGTCACTGACTACTATATAATTATAGCTTCTAAGGCTCTAAGGGAAGGGGGGTCATTTATTTTATTTATTTTCAAATTATTTACTATTAGCATGTGTGAGAGAGAAAGAGAAAGGGGGGAGGAGACACATGCCATAGCACATGTGTGCATGTATGGAGGTCAAGCAACTTTGTGGATTCAGTTCTCTCCTCCCACCTTTATGTGGGTTCCATGGTTCAAACTCAGGTCACCAGGCTTATATGGTAAGTGCTTGAGCCATCTTGTTGGTCTGAGAGGGAGTCACTTAGTCTGATATAGTTACATGACACAAAAGGAAATTCAAGCTCATAGATTTAAGCCATGACTTCAAGTATTTCAGACTTCAAATCTGCAAACTGAAAAGCAAAGTATGTAAGCAAAGCTGGTTATTCTTCAGTTTTGCATATGACCTTGCCCTAATTCTCTATGTGGAAAAAAAAGCTAAGTGTATTGAATATGTCATAGCTAGCTGTGCTAGAGATAACACATGAGATAGGCAAGGCCTCACCGTCAAGGATCTGAGAAGAATTGGTGAACACTAGCCCAGTTGTCGCTACTTGACTCAGCCAACTAAATTAGATGTCTATTCTTGAGCCTCCCCTTTCTTTCTATTATGGTGTGGCATAATAAGGAATAATATATATGTATGTATATATATATATATATATATACTTTTTGTCTGGTTCTTTTTGTTGTATATATGTGTATGGTACTGTGCTAGGGATTGAACCTAAGGCCTCACTCACTTATGCTAAGCAAGCACTCTACTACTGAGCTTTGTTCCCCAGCTCCTTCTTGAGACAGGGTCTCACTAAATTTCCCAGAATTTCCTTGAACTCATTCTGTAGTCTAAGCAAGCCTTGGACTTTTGATCTTACTGCTTCAGCATTCTGAGTAGCTAGGGTTACAAGATGTCCCAGGTCCTTGACACAGAGCTCCTAAAACCCTTGGAATTTGCTGAGTGATAGGAGCGAGTCTCTTATTGTTCATAATGAATCCTTTTCAACCATAACTCAGTTTGTGGTAGTGAGGCTACTTTTGACAGGCCCCTGCTTCTAGCTGGGTGCTAGTTATCAGAAAGAGCAAACATTGATCAGAAGCCTGGAACATTCAGCCCTGTGCCCTAATTGCCCTATGATTGTAGATTGCATTCAGTCATAGGGGATAGCTACTTTTTAAAAAAATATTTTTTGTTATTTTTATTTTATGTATATGTGTGTATTGCTTGCATGTAGGTAAGTGCACTATGTTGTGCAATGCCTGCGGAGGACAGAAGAGGCTGTCAGATCTCCTGGAACTGGAGTTATGGACAGTTGTTAGCTGCCATGTGGGTGCTGGAATTCAAAGCCAGGTCTTCTGCAAGGACAAGCAGTGTTCTTAACTGAGGGGCTAGTTACTTTAATTGGTCATGCCTATGTAGTAGAGCTGCCATATAGTTCCTTAAACAATGAGGTTTGGGGAGCTCCCAGGTAGGTACGTAAATGTGATTGTGTGTTAGAAAGGCAATTCCTGAAGGTTCCTGCACTCATGACCCTTCTAGACCTCTGTGGCATTTTCCAGGTAGGTACGTAAATGTGATTGTGTGTTAGAAAGGCAGCATACCCCAATTCCTGAAGGTTCCTGCACTCATGACCCTTCTAGACCTCTGTGGCATTTACTATCCAATGCCACATTAGAGTGATGCTTTAAAGAGCACAGCCTGCCTTTCAGCACATGTGAAGGCCAAGAGCAGAGCTGAACCACTAAGAGCCTGTTCCTCCAGATTTCTCTCTAACTATCCTCTCTTTCTCTTATTGAAACCATATATCCAGCATGAAATGGGGAAGTAAAAGTCAGTCCCTTATCAGAGCATCCTGCCCTTTCTAAGCCCTACTGATTTAGAATAGCACACATCCAATCACAAGCAGAAGTGATTAATTTAATCCCATCTATTGCTTACAACACAAGCGGGATAATTATCTCATCATTTTCAATGTGAAAAGTACTGTTTCCAGTGCTCTGATATGTAAAACATCCATACACATATTCATATGCTATCTCAAGTGGAGGGCAAGGAAGGGTCATGAGAGATTAAGGTCATATGCTCAGGTCACAAGAGGAGCACACAGCTCAGTGAGCTTGTCTACATTATAAACAAGCTAAGATTAACCTTTTGGTGGCAAGGTTAAGTAAAAGTTATCCATCCAAGCATGTCCAGATTGTAAAAGCCATCCCCACAGACCTCATGCTATGTGCCTGTTCCTCCAACTGTTCATCTGTGTTCTTTATATTTTGTATGTACAGAGCCCTAGGATTGATAGCCAGCACATATGCAAAAAATAATTTGTCTTGTATCTTAAAATGTAATAGTAAATATAGAAAGTGTCTGAGTTCTACGAGTCATACTATCAAATTATCAAGCAAGAGGGGCAGGGTTGTGGCAACCTCTGAATTTATAGTCAAGTCACACAGAGAAGTACAGGTAACCTGAGACTTGATTGACACTTGCCATTGACTTCTAAATGGATGGCAGGCTTGTGAGATGGAGTCCTTAGATCTATGGAGTCTGGTACTAACTCCAGCTAGTTAGAATCATAACTGGGTTGAATTAAAGGATATCCAGGTATTGTTAGAAGACTGGAGAACCAGTGTGGAAAGATACCCTGTATTAGCTGTCTATAGGAAATTGCTCTTCAGTGACCTTAAATTGCAGTGTACTTTTTGGACAATGTGACTTATAGAAAGTACATTGATGGAGCTGGAGAGATGGCTCAGTGGTTAAGAGCATTGGCTGCTCTCACAGAGGACTGGGGTTCAGTTCCCAATACTCACATAACACTGGTTAACTCCAGTCCCAGGGGATCCACTGCCCTCTTCTGGACTCCATGGGCATTGCACACATGTGTGTGGCACACTTAACATACAAGCAAGCAAAACAATCACAGACAAAATAAAAACAACAATGTTGGGCATGGTGGCATGCACCTTTAATCCCAGCACTCAGTGGGTAAGGCTGCTTGTTGCTAAGCCTGACAGCCCTGAGTTTGATTCCCTGGGACTCACATGATGGAAGAAGAGAACTGATTTCCTGTAAGTTGTCCTCTGACACACAAAATAAAATTTAGTAAAAGGTTTCAAAATACAATAGGAGTAAAAGCAAAACTCATAGATGCTACACTGAATAAACAGATGTAGATGCTGAAGATTAGAGTCCGTTCACATCTAGCAACAGGCACATGACCACACTGGGGAAGCTTTCAGTTCCTAGAGGCAGGTGAGTGGCTCTCCTCTGGTCAGTACCCGCTCTTCCAGCCTCTACCTCTTCTTCCTAAAGATTTTATGCTCCATTGCTGAGAGATCAACAGTAGCTTCTGATCTTTTAATAGGGAAAACCAATCTCCTTTGAAAGTCTATTCTACACTTGTATATAAAAATCAAGTTCTGGACTGGAGAGATGGCTCAGTGGTTAAAAGCACATACTGCTCTTCCAAAGGACCTGAGTTCAGTTCCCCAGCTGACACCTTTGACCTCCTGAGCACATACTCACACATATAAACATAATTAAAAATAAAAATTTGAGGCAGAGACAAGTGGATCTCTGTGAGTTCAAGGCCATCCAGGTCTATATAGTGAGTTCCTGGCCAGCTGGGTCTACAGGGAGACCCTGTCTCAAAAAAACCTAAATAAATAAATAAAAATAAATCATAAGAAAGTATGGTGATTTCACTTAAATTTCTACTTTTTTCTTTAAATATTAATATAGAAAGCTCCATAGCTTAGAGGCTAAAGCACTGGTCTTATAAATGCTGATGTTAAGTATTTATGTGAAGTAGAGTGAGCCGTGGTGGTACATACTCAAGGTCCCAACACTCGAAGGTTAAAGCAGGAAGAGCAGGAGTTCCAGGCCAGCCTAAACATCAGCCTGGATGACACCTCTAGTAATGTGGGCCAAAGCAGCTCTTTCCTCCCTCAGGTTGTTCCCATTAGTTATTTTGTCATAGTGGTGGAAGAAATTAACACCATCTTCTTTTAGAGTCTTAGGTAAAGGGGTGGGTCCATAAAACCCCAAATCACACGCAAAGCTTGTGACCTTTGTGTTGATGTGCATTTTCCCCCAGTCTGTGACTATCATCAAATTGTCAAAGTTTGTAGTTTAAAACAGTTAAAAACAAAAACATTGTTCATAAGGGGTAAGTTTGTGATCTGTTAACTAAGACCCATAGGTTCCAAACTGTAATAATATTTTTCACTGTAAAATAAAGTAAGAAACCTTCATTTCTTGAACTTGAAGACAAATACCTGATTTTCTGTGGTGCTAGGAAATAACCACATATACAGCATCAGTCCTGTTTGCAGATGATATTTTATTTCAAATAAATTGCTTTGTTTGTTTTTTCAAGAATGCCTTACTCTGTAGACCAGGCTGTCCTTGAATTTGTAGTGATCCTCCTGCCTCCTAAATGCTGGGATTACAGGGGTGTGCCACCATGTTGAGCTTTTGCTTAGTTTTTGTTTGTTTTGTTTGAGGATGGGTTTCATATAACTCAGGCTGGCTTCAACCTCACTGAGTAGCCAAGGATGACCTTGAACTCCTGATCCTCCTGCCTTGGCCTCCCCAGTGCCAGGATTACAGACCTGTGCCCCCATGCCCAGCCAGCCTCTCCTTCCCCCTTTTATTTCTTCCTCATCGCAGGCCCCAGCCTATGGAATGGGGCCACCCTCATTCAGGGCAGGTCTTCCCCATTTGGTTAATCCTCTCGGGAAACAACCTCACAGGCATACTTGTGGGGGCTGCTTCCCTAGCTCCTGGGACTTTTCAATCCTACCAAGTTGCCCATGGTATTAATCTTCACAAACAGTATTGCAGGTATTGCACTGTTGAAGAAGGAAAAGCAGAAGTCTCTTATTAAGTGAGTAATGGAGAGAGGACATGACAAAAGTCTGCAAAGGCTGTCTCCTTTCCCATCTGCAGAACTGGGGTTCAGCCCTAGCCATTGCCTAAGGAAAAGGGGTGATGGTTGCTAAAAAAACCACAAACAAAATAACAATAGTAACAACAGCAACTACAAAAAATACTTTTTAAAAAAAATACATAAAATTAAAATAATAAATAAATAAAATATTTAAAATATTACATTCATGTAGGCAATATAGACACTAGGAATCAAACTCAAGTTGCCAGGTTTATGTGGCAAGTGTCATTACCCACTGACCTATCTTGTTAGCCCTTGTTTGGTTTTTTGAAATAGAATCTCATGTAGCCCAGGTTAGCCTCAAACTCACTATGTAGACCAGGCTGGCCTTGAACTCACAAAGATACACCCGCCTCTGCCTCCTGAGTGCTGGGATCAAAGGGGTGTGCCACCACACCCAGTTAAACCATAGTTATTTTAAAAAATACATATTTTTTATTTTATGTGTATGTGGGTATTGCCTACATGTATGTAAGTGCACCCATGTCATGCAGTGCTTGAGGAGGACAGAAGAGGCCATTGGATCCCCTGGGACTGGAGTTATGGACAGTTGTTAGCTGCCATGTGGGTATTTGGACTCAAACTCGGGTCTTCTGCAAGAATAGCCAGTGTTCTTAACCACTGAGCTGTCTCTCCAGCTCCTAAACCATAAGTTTCTAATCCTTCATTCATATGTCCTTATCCTTCAGTCTGACCAGGATTATCCTGATCCCTCAAGAGTCACAAGTCAACTCTGACTATACCAGATCGAGGAGGATACCAATTCTTAAGTGTTGATGAGCAGAGAGAGTAATTTCCATTGTGCATCAGGGGAAGAGAGAAAAAACAGAAATAAAAGTTAAAAGTAAAAAAGCAAGGAAGAAAATAGAAAAACAAAAGTGATAGACAATTAGGGAAAATGAAGAAAAACAGAAAAACTGAAAGACTAGTACTTATCAAAAGATAGAGCAGGGGGTGGTGGCGTATACCAGCAATGCCAAGTACTTGGGAGACTGACACATAAGGACTGCTTATATCTAGGAATTCAAAACCAGTCTGGGCAGCATAATATGACCCCCATCCCGATAATGAATGGATGAAGGAATGCATGAATGAATGAATGAATGAATGAATGAACTTTGCATTCCATACACTACTCAGATCCTTTGTGGACAGAGACATTGTATCTGTGATGATCAGTTTACTCCCTCATCCTGACAAAGCTGGATTCATAGTGTTATAGGTATCCAGGGTACTTTTGGGATACAAGGGATCTGTGAAGTCATTAGGGTTAGAACCATTTCTTCAGGACCAGCCACTGGAGTTATGTAACAACTCCAAAGTTGGTCTATCGGTGTATATTTTAACAAATGGAAGGTTTTTTTCTGGATAAGTGTACTATTAAAAACTGGTTTTGCGGCAATGACCTTAACTCAGATTTGTAAACCCAATCTTTTAAAGTTGCTTTACCTAATCAAGGAAAAAGGGATGATCTGGGCCGTTAGCAAGCAAGGAAACAAAATGATCCAAAAAGTGTTTGTGTTGGAACTCGAGTAAGTAAAGCTCTGACTTGTTCCACTCTTTAGAAAGTTCTATTTCAACATCATGCTTACCAGCCTTTCTTTGCAGGGGATAAAGTGTGTAACTTGATGATCTTCGACACTCGAAAAACAGCAAGACAGCCCAACTGCTACCTGTTTTTCTGTCCCAGTGAGGAAGCTTGTCCACTGAAACCAGCAAAAGGGCTTATGAGCTACAGGGTTGTCAGAGGTAACAAAGGCATCACTCTTTGTGTGTGTCTGGCGGAATTATTTAAGGCTATGGTTTCTGTGAAATATTTTCTGTAAGAATACAAGTACCTTCTTCTAATCATGTGGTTATTAAATAAATAACTAAAAAAGATGCTCCTCAAAGCAAAAAAAAAAAAAAAAAGAATACAAGGACAAAAGGGTTCATAAATATTGTGAAATTCATTAAACCAAAATGCATTTTTCCAATAATAGTTTCTGAATGATGGTATTTGTTTGATTTTGTTTTTACTTTTGTATTGTTAAAATCACATGGATCTGCCATGAACCCTTTATTATTTTTCATTTTTTCAATATTTTATTATTTTTGTTTTATGTATATGAGTATGTTGCCTGCATGTAATAAGTATACCCATGTCATGCAGGGCCCAAGGGCATCAGAAGAGGAGTCAAATCCCCTGGAACTGGAGTTACGAGTGGTTGTTAGCTGCCATGTGGGTTCTGGGAATTGAACCCAGGTCCTCTGCAAGAGTGGCCAGTGCTCTTTAACTGCTTAGCCATCCCTCCAGCCCCATCTTTTTTTTTTTAAACAACAACAACAACAAAACCAAGGTTTCCTGTGTAGCCCAATCTCACCTATGAGAAAATCCTTGATAAGGTGCCATTTGTTCATTTATTCAATAAATATAAAATATTATGCCGGATATTAAGGTGCATGCCTTTAATCCCAGCACTTAGGAGGCAGAGGCAGGCAGATCTCTGTGAGTTGGAGGCCAGCCTGGTCTACATAGTGAGTTCCAGGCCAGCTGGGGCTACAGGGAGACCCTGTCTCAAAAAGACCGAAAAAAAAAAAATTCCCAAAAAACAGGCATTTGAGACCACAGCAAAGAGGAATGGAAAGACTGGTTAGTGGGGTGTGGGATTCAGGTAGAAGATGTTCTGGACAAGGGAGGCAGTAAAGGAGATGGAGAGTGTAGAGTTGGTAGGACTTGCTGGTGGCCAGAATGTGTAGGGGCCAGGAAAACGGACACAAGGACGCGGAACCCTTGTTTCTGAGTTGAGCGTTGAGATGGGAGGGGCCGCCATTTACTGAGGTGGGGAATTTTGAGGAGAACAGCTGTAGAGCCAGGAGGTGGAGTAGAATGAAGGGTTCGCTCTTGCCTGTTAAGTTGAGGTGCTTTGTGGGAACTTCTCAGGGTACCTGGACACTGAACACTTTGTCTCCTGAGTGAGGCCATGCCTGAATTTTGTTCCCAAACCAGGGAAATTTGGTGTGTCAAACATTCCCTTAAACAGGAGCTCCGAGCACAGGTTGAGTGATCTGATATTGAGATGAGATGATAGAAATTAGAATTGAAATTAGAGGATTTTTCTCCCCCAAAATACTTCTGTAGAGTTACTGCTTTTATAACGCGTAAAAGATGAAATACGTGGTAAAGATCCTGCCAACGGAGAGGCGATGTTCTAGTGGTGGCCACCAGGGGCGTCATCAGCCCAGCACAAGCTAAAATGACATTTCTCAGCAAAGTGACAAAGCGACGCAGAACCCTGGACAAATTATGCCAAGGCCAAGATTTATTTCTACAGGACAGTGTACATGTCCTTAATTCTATGTATAAATCTACCCATGTTTATGGGTTGAGTTATTCCATTAATCATAAATTAACCTGTTTGAACAGAAATGAAATATAAATATCTGTTTGGTGGTTTGTTTCTGGAGGGACTTTTATTTCCTGGAACCAACTAATATTTACGACAGGCGCTTTGAAAGATAACTGCAAACCCTGTTCATGCTATAAAACCATTGCTTCTTGGCATCAATCTGTCTCTAATAGTTTTACAATACATCCTTTCTACCAAGTACTGTAAGAATATGAGTTCCAAAATCCAATAAATTAGAAATCTGTTTGCTCAGCTGGCCTCTAAGAAATGGTCCCTTATTTTTGGACTCAGTGGAATCCTTGAAAAATGAAACTCAAAAGAAGAGGGCCCCGGGCTGTTTCCCAGCCCCCTCTGTGGCTATGTCCCCAAGAAAGAAACCCCACCCCAGTGCAAACAGCAGCAGGCCAGGTGAGAGGAGTGGGTGTGAAGGACTCCATGTGGTTCTAGGATCCTTGCCAACACATGCATCTTATCAGACTGGGTTGGCACTGGCTTTGTTTTATAGCTGAGCTCACATGTTTGAGAGAGCAAACAGCTGTTTTAGTTATTCTTGTCTAATGGACCTATTTAGCTTCTGATCTCACACATATTGTAGGGCATTTAGCTAGTCTTTTCTCTCTCACCCTTTTTACTTCAGAATATTATTTTCCATTTTTATTACATTAATTTTATTACATTAATTATACACACACACACACACACACACACACACACACACACACACACACACCATGGCGGCCGTGTGGGGGACAGAGGACAACTTGTGGGAGTTGGTTCTCTCCTATTATGTGAGTTCTGAGGACTGAACTCAAGTTGTCAGGCTGGTGATCCCACTGAGCCATCCCACCCCTGCCCCCCGACACACACATACATACACACACACACACACACACACATTCTTTTAACTTTAAAATAAAACATACTGAGGTGTATTTTGTTTGTTGTTTGCTGGTCATGAGGATCGCCCTCAGGGCCTCTTTTGCTAAGTATGTGCTCCACTACTGAGTTATACTCTTAGCCTCCAAGTCTTCATTTGTATTAAATAACTAAAGATGTAGATGGTGATTGTCTCACAGTTAGTGCTACAAATGTGACATCACCTGTGGGGGAAAGAGAGGGAAGAAAATAAAAACTGAGATCTGTGTTGTTGGAGAAAAGGAACTTCGGGTATCCAGATTTTTTTGGGCGGGGGGACATGGATGTTTTGAGACGGGGTCTTGTGTAGACCAGACTGGCCTTGAACTCACTGTGTAGCTGAAGTTGACCTTGAACTCCTGATCCTCCCACTTCCTAAGTGCTGGAATCACAGGCATGTGCCACTATACCCAGCTTCCAATTCTATTTTAAAGCAGAGGACAAGAGACTAGAGCAAGTGTCTGCCAACTTTTCTATCAAGTGTCTAATAGTATTTAGGTTTCTGAGGCCTGTGTTTTAGCCTCTCTGACCATATGCATTCAGTCATAGCCACATACCATTGACCTTACAGTATAAAAAGCTGCCACAGCGAATATATAAATAAATGAACAAGATGCATACCAATAAACTTGATTCAGGGCACTGAAATTTGAATAGCAAAAGATGTTCGTGTGCCCAAAATTCTTCTTTTGATTTTTTTTAACCATTTAAAAAATATAAACTTCATTCATAGCTTGTAAGCCACACAAAGATAAGTGGCAGCAAGATATGGATTCTGAGGCTAATGAATTAAGTGGAGGTTTGAAAGGATCATGTAGTCTGATGAGGTGGTACATGTCTACCATGTCAGGAAAATGAAGGCAGGAGAATCAGGAGTTCAAGATGAGCCTCAATTACATATCAAGTTCCAGACCAGCCTGAGGTACGTGACTGTCTCAAAAAACCAAAACAGAGGAGGTTAGAGAGATGTCTCAGTGGTTAAGAGCACTGGCTTCTCTTGCACAGGACCTGGTTTGGTTCCCAGAACCCCATAGCAGCTAACAACTGTCTGTAACTCCAGTTTCATAAAATTTGACACCCTCTTATGTCCTCTGTGGGCACTGCATGGCATGGATGCACTTACATACATACAGGCAAAACACTCATACACGTAAAATAAAAATAAACAAATGAATAAAAAATTTTAAAACAAAAACATTGGACCATGTGTGGCGGTGCAAACCAGAGGCAGGGGATCTCTCCAAGTCTGAGGTCAGCCTGGTCTAGATAACAGTCCAGGCCAGTCAGAGCTACATAGTAAGACCCTGTCTCAAAAAAACAAAACAAAAACCCAAACCAAAAATAGGACTGGCAAGATGGTTCAGCAGCTAAATGTGCTTGCTGCCAAGCCTGATGACCTGCATTTGATCCCTGGGACCTACATGGTGTAAGGAGAGAACAGGTTCCTACAAGTTGTCCTCTGACCTCCACACTTATGCTGGCGCACATGTGCCCCCTTTCCACCAAAATAATTTTTAAAATTTATTTATTTTTATTTTATGTGTATGAGTGTTTTGCCTACATGAATGTTAAGTATACCACATGTATGCAATGCCCATGGAACCAGAAGATGGCATCAGATCCCCTGGAACTGGAGTTACAGACAGTTGTTAGCCTCTGTGTAGGTGCTGGGAACTGAATCTGGGTCTTCTGGAAGAGCAGCCAATGCTCTCTTAACTGCTGAGACATCTCTCCAGCTCCCATAAATAAGTTGTTTTTTTGTTTGAATTTTTTTGAGACAATGTCTCCCTGTAGCCCCAGCTGGCCTGGAACTCACAAAGATCCACCTGCCTCTGCTTCCCAAGTGCTGGGATTAAAGGTGTGCACTGCCATGCCCAGCATAAGTTTTTTAAATATAATTTTTAAAAAATCACCTACCTACTTAAGTAAATAAATGACAATGCAGAGGTATAAGGGACAAAGTATTCAGAAGCAATCAGCTCTAAAGTTGCCTCGGGATCTGTTTCCTAGGAGAGATGAGGGTCTAGTTCAGAGATCATTAAGGGGACTTGAAGAAGACAAGGAGACAGGGTCTGCCCCATCATACCTGGTTTTTGTAGTGCTGTGGACCAAGTCCAGGCCTTCATACATGCTAGATAAATGCTCTACTAACTGAGCCACACCCCCAGCTCCATTCTGAAGCTCTAATGTAAGTGAACTGGTCAAATAACTGAGTAACACAGAGCAATTCGGATTATCATTCACTGTTCTTGATTGCTTCAACAAGTTTTTCTAGTTTAAACTGTGATGAATAATGCAAAACCCTAAGCTTTCTCCAGGAGCAAGAGTTGGGCTACATGATCCTGCCCTTTGTGGGCACAGTCTGCTCATCGTGATTTCAAACACTGGTCCCATCTTACTCATAACTTAAGACTTTAAGAATGAGAATCAATTTTTCCAGATAGCCTGCCTCTTCTTTTTTAAAAAAAATTAATTTTTATGTTCATGAGTGTTCTACTGCATGTATGTAAATGCATCATGTGCATGCAATGCCAACAGAGGCCAGAAGAGGGCATCAGATCCCCTGGAAGTAGAGTTACAGACTGTTATTAGCCACCATGTGGGTGTTGGGAAAGAAACCTGGGTCATCTGTAAGAGCAACCAGTGCTCTTAACCACTGAGCCATCTTTCCAACCCCAGCATTTTGTATTTTTCTGTTTTATAGATGTTTTGATGAAAATCAACTAGCAGAAGCCAAAGTACAACTTACTGGTACAGTGCATGCCTAGTGTGTGTAGGTCCCTGGTTCAATTCCCAGTGTGCGCGCGTGCGCGCGCGCACACACACACACACACACACACACACACAGAGTGACAACAGGTTGGGAACATACTAAACAAGTTGGTAGAAATATTTGGTTTGGGTTTTGTTTTGGTATTTTGACACAAGGTCTCACTATATAGCTTCGGCTGGCCTGGAACTCTCTATGTAGACCAGGCTGGCCTTACTCACATAGATGTGCTTGCCTCCCAAATGTTGGGATTAAAGGCATGTACCACCATACATAGCTATATATTTGTATTTTACATATACCTTACCATGGACATATTTAACTCTTCTTTTTATTTTCTTTATACTTTTCAGATTTTCCATCTTTTCCCAGAGCTAATTCACCACTCCAAGAGCTATCACAAGAAGTTTCTCTCTTATCTGGCCAGTCCTCACCAGCAGTCACTCCCAGAGTCCGTCCTCCCTTAGGTTATGTAAATCCCACTGGCCTCTTTTGGAGAGATGAATTTTCTCAGAAGTCTGCATCCTCAGCTCACTTGCAGAAACTCTTCAAGATCGGTGAAACAACAACACAGGTTCCTGTTTATAAAGAAAAAGGCTATTCTCAGACTTTACAGATTTCCTCAAAACTAGAAATGGTTCATCTGCTGCCTAAAAATATAACTACCCTCTCTACCACAGCAGCTGTTGCTTCCCCCCACAGCACCTCTGCTGTTGGGAAGGATGTGCCTCTCCCACGGGCCAGCACCTCAGAGACACCTTCTGTGACTTTACCTCAGCAGGTGGCCACCACAGGTGCAGGTGCAGCCACTGCGACCTCTCAGCCACCAGACACCCCTGTGTCTCCAAGTTTTACACATGCCCCAGTTATACACCAAGCAGTTTTGACCACCATTTTTCAGATACCTTCAGACTTGGGCATCCAAGAGAACGTGCCCTTTGGAGGCGTCTCTAAGCTAACTTCAGATGAGGGACTCAAGCAGAGCTCTGCTGCTCTTACTTTGTCAAACTTGGAATCTTCTGCTAGCAACAGGTCTGCTCTAGAGAATGGGAGGGCCAGTGTAGGCAGCTCATCACCGAGCAAGGTTCCAGAAAGCCAACATGCCCTTCCATTTGAGAAGTGGCTTCTCATGGGGACCCTCCTCTTTGGTGTTCTGTTCCTGATAATAGGCCTTGTCCTCTTGGGTAAGATGCTCGCAGAATCCCTCCGGAGGAAACGGTACTCACGACTTGATTACTTGATCAATGGGATCTATGTGGACATCTAAGGACAAATTAAGTATTTCTTAGTTCATTTACTAACTCAATGTTAAGTGCACTGAGTTTCTTCTGACTCAGTAGGAGTCATATTTCAAAGACAGGAGAGTGCCTCCAACACTTTATTCTTTTTCTTTTGAGACAGGTTTTCTTGTAGCCCAGGCTAGCCTCGAACTCCTGCTCCTCCTGTCTCTGCCTCCCAGGCCGAGGTTACCACATGTGCACTACCATGCATGGCTTTAAATTTTTTTTTAAATTAGGGGCTGGAGAGATGGCTTAGCAGTTAACAGCACTGACTGCTCTTCCAGAGGACCTGGGTTCTGTTCCCAGCACCCAGATGGTGTCTAATAACCCTATCCGTAACTCCAGCTCCAGGCGCTCCATCATCCCCTTCTGGCTTTTGCAGGCACTGCACACACAGGTGCATGCACATACATGTAGACAAAACACTCATACACATAAAAGGAAAATAAATAAATAAATTTTTATTTTTTTTCAAGACAGGGTCTCCCTGTAGCCCCAGCTGGCCTGGAACTCATTATATAGACCCATCTGACCTTGATCTTAGAGATCTACCTGCCTCTGCTTCCCAAGTGCTGGGATTAAAGGTGTGTACCACCATGCCCAGCCTTTTTTGCAGAACTAGAAGTCAAACCCAGGGCCTTATGCATGCTAGGCAAGTACTTTACTGCTGAACTATATCCCCAACCCTACCACTTTCTTTTTTTTAGGAAGAGGGAATAAAAGGAACCTAATTACATTATTTGAGTGATCTGTCTCTGAAATATAAGTTGAAATTAAAGTCCTATCTAAAATAATAAAGTATACTTGCATATAAACTGAAAACTTTTATCTGGCTTTAGATAAGGGGGGGGAAGGTTAAGACACGTTGGTTTCAATTCATTAATATTTCTGGTTCCAGATAACATCAACTGTTTATGATATTAGTTTTAATCAAGTCACTTTCTTTTTCACATGAATTCCAATAAAACTTATTCCAGATGTATTTCCTTCCAATTATATTTGAATAAATCTTTTGTTACTCAGTATTGTTCTTGTGACACATCCAGCTGGACAGCTTTCCATTTATTCCCACCAGCAAAATGATGAAATAATGAAAATATGTGTTCCAAGTAAAATGACAACCCCTCTTTTCCCGTCAATGAGCAAAGAAGTTCCTTTGGGAGAATTTTAGCAGAATATTAGCCTTCCATGGAGACGATTATAAGTTTTTGTTGTTTGAGACAAGGTCTCATGTAGCCTAGGCTGGCCTCAAACTCTATATAGCCATGGATGACCTTGAACTCCTGATACTCCAGCCTTCACCTCTCAGGTGTTGGGACTATAGGTGTATGCCACCACACCCAGCTGATAAGTTAGTTCTAGAACATAGCCAAACAAACCCATTTGGGATCTGTTCTAACTTTTAAAGAGTTAACATTTCTCAAATTATACCAAGTTTAAAATGTACCAGAGTTACTTATAAATAACTAAACTTGAGCAGTAGTTGATTATAGATTTAATGGGAACAACTTTAGAAGTGATATATAGCACTTTGATTAGTATGCCATAATTTTTATTGGCCAATGCTGCTGAAATTCCTGGAAATGCATTTATGTAAGGGAGCTTGACAGCATGTTAAGGTGATCTAACTAAGAGCACAGACGGTCACCTGGTTCAGCTGGAGACTGCATGTCTGGATTTCAACTTGCCTATGTGTAAAACAAGAACTTTAGTTAGGGGGAGGTGTGTATACACATTTGTATACATGTGGGTGCAGGTGTGGAGGGCAGAGGTCAATGTCTGGTGTCTTCCTCTATCACTCCCCACCTTATTTTTTGAGACAGGGTCTCTCGCTGAACATGGAGTTACTGATTTGGCAAGACTAGCTGACCAGTGAGCCCCCGGGACCCTCCTGTCTCACCTCCCCAGTGCTGAGATTACAGACATGTGCCACCATACCCTGATTTTTAGGTGGTGTTGGGATCCAAACTCGGGTTCTCATGCTTGCAAAGTAGTATTTTACTAAGCCATCCCCCAGCCCCTAAACATTGTTTTTAAAACATTAAAAAATGGACTTCAGATGAGAACTCTATACGGCAGGCACTAGAGGGCAGTAGCCGGTTAACAAGTGTAGTCATGATTCAAAGAAGTGACAAAAAGGCTGGTCCTCATTCCCCTCTCCTCCCCCTTCCCTCCCACCCCTTGCCCTCTTTATCCTCACCCCTCCTCCTCCCTCACTTCCTCCTCCCCCTCCCCTCCTCTTTCCCCCTCACCTCCTACCATTTCACCTCCTCCTCCCTCACTTTTTCCTCTGCCCTCCTCTCTTCCTCCCCCTCTCCCCCCTCTCCTCAATCCCCTCTTCCTCCCTCACCTTGGTCTAGGTTAAGCTCATTTGAGAGGAGAGCTGGCTTGTTCAAAGTCCTGCTTTTCATGTATTTTCCAACTTAGCAGCTTGACACAAATCTCCAAGGGGTTTACATAAGCTTCAAGTAGGTTGAATAAATGAAATCTTGAGTGGATTTAACAAGTACTTCTTGAATATCTACATGCAGAGCAGAATCAGATCAGTAACTAAGTGTGCTGGGATTTGGAAATGTCCCCTCCTTGTTAATGGAGATAAGGGCTTTTCCTGGGTGCTCATAAAAGCATCCTCTGGCCTCCCTGCTTACTTGCTTCCTTGAGACAGGGTCTCACTTTATGGCCTAAGCTGGCCTTGAACTTACTTTGTAGCCTAGGCCTGCCTCAGATTCTCAGCTCTCCTGCCTTGACCCCAGGAGTACAGGTGTATACCACCACACCTGGCTCTAAATGTCTCCTTCCCCACCTCCTCTCTCTCTCTTTCTTCCTTTTCTTTGAGACAGGGTTTCATAAAGCCCAGGCTGGCCTTGAACTTGCTATATAGCCAAGGATTACGTTGAACTTCTGATCCTCCTGCCTCTACTTCCTGAGTGTTGAGACTGTAGATGTATGACATCATATTTGGATTTATACAGTGCTAGGTGTGGAGTCCAGAACTTGGTTCATGCTAGGCAAGCACTCTACCAACCCAACTACATCTCCAGCCCTTCCTTTGCTTTTTATTCTGAGACAAGGTCTTGCTAAATTGTCCAGACTTGCCTTAAACTCAAACTGCAACTAAGTAGGCATTGCATTTATGGTCCTCTTTGCCTCAGCCCCCTAAAAAGCTGGGATTGCAGGCCTGCACTACCAGGCCTAAATGCTTACTTAACGAGGCAATCAGAGAAGAGGCCATAGCCAACAGTAAGAGATGCTGTGAGGGTTACTATGCCGGTGGCTGTGGGATGTGTCTTGTAAGGAAGCACTTAGATTGAAGGCATTCCTTTTTTAAATATTTTCTTATTTTTATTTTATGTGTATGAGTGTACTGCCTGCATGTACATAAGTACACCCATGTCATGAAGTGCCCAAGGAGGTCAGAATAGGGGTCATAGTCCCTGGAATTGGAGTTAGGGACAGTTGTTAGATGCCATTGTGGGTGCTGGAAAGCAAAACCAGGTCCTCTGCAAGAGCAGCCAGTGCTCTTTATTGCTGCCATCTCTCCATCCCCATTCTTCTATTTTTTGAGATAGGGTCTCATGTAGCCTGGGCTGGCTTTGTACTCACTATGGAGCTGAGGCTGGTCTTGAACTCCAGATCCTCTTGCCTCCACCTCCTGAGTGCTGGAATTTCAGGCCTGTACCACCAAGGTCTGACTCTTTTATGATGACTTTCCCGAAGAATTTTTTATTTTTTTAAGTTTTATTTATTATTTTTATGTTATGTATATGAGTGCATTGTCTGCATGTGTGTAAGTGCACCCATGTTGTGTAATGCTTGTGGAGGTCAGAAGAAGCTGTCAGATTCCCCCGGAATTGGAGTTATGGATGGTTGTTAGCTGCTGTGTGGGTGGCTGGGAATCAAACCTGAGTCCTCTGCAAGAGCAGCCAGTACTCTTAACTGCTGAACCATCTCTTCAACCCCTCTGGAGAATTTTTAGTCCTCATTTTGCAGATGGGGAAACTGAGGTACAGAGAAGCTTAAGTGACTTGCCTGAGGCCAGTTGCCCTGATGATCTTCTCAGATTTCACAGTCCTTCCCTCTTATAACTTATACATGGTGTAACCAAAACCAGCTTGCAGTAGACAGACATATTCTAGATAACAGTTTTTTGTATTGTTTCCCTTTTGCAGTGCTGGGTATTGAACTCAGGCCCTGACATATATGAGGTGAACACTCTACCACTGAGCTATATCCCAGCCCTAGATAAAGCTATTAAATGGTGTTAAACAGAATGACAGCTTGAGCCGAGAGAATGAGAATTAAGAGATCAATGGTCTCTCTCTGAGATAGCCACTGAGAGCTATCTCAGTTGCTCTGAAACTTCCTATATAGCCAGGGATGACCCTAAACTCCTAGATCCTCCTGCCTCCACTTCCCAAGTGCTGAGATTACAGGCGACCACCATGTCTGGTTTATAGGGTGTTAGAGACTGATCCCAGGGCCTTGTACACTCAAGGCAAGCACTCTAACCGAGCTACATCCCAGACCCCAAGGGTCACTTCACCAGGAGTGCACTGTACTACAGGGCCAACCTGTCTCCTGTTTCCAAGTTCCCTCATCTTAGTAAATAGTGCCATTTACTATGCAGTCTCTCCTGGACTGGACAACAAAGTAATATTCCATTTTTTTTGTTTCTGTTTTGTTTGAGACAGGGTCTCCCTTTAGCCCCAGCTGGCCTGGAATTCACTATGTAGACCAGGCTGGCCTCAGTCTTACAAAGATCTGCCTGCCTCTGTCTCCTGAGTCCTGGGATTGGGTATACCACCATGCCTGGCATAATATTCTGTCTGCTGCTTTGGCCCCCACATCCAACATTTACCACATCCTTCTATCAAGGAATGATGAAGGCCCTCATCAGATGCAGTCTTAGAGACCAGAATTCCCAGCCTCCGGACTGTAAGACATAAACCTCTGTTCATCATAAATTATTTTGTCTTGGGTATTCTGTTATAGCAGTATAAAATATCCTAAGGCAGTTATCTCTACTTGCTTCTCTTACTCTGGTCCTACATCATGTGTTCCCTCTATAGCTTCAAGTCACCTTTGAAGCATAGACATAGGCATGTAACTCCATACATCACACTATCTGCTTCCACTGCCTGTAGGGAGTATTACCAGTTGAATGTGGCATGACAAAGCTCCCTATGCACTCACCCCATCTAACCACCCAGTGTTGGAGGTGGAACCCAGGTCCTGATATATGCTAAGTAAACACTCTACCCTGAGCTACATCCCAGCCCTAGATAACAGGTATTACATGTCTGCCTCCCACCCCTCCTCCCCAGAACTC